TGCACAACAACAACCTCAAGTTGACAGTGAAATGCACGCGATAGACCGAGGGGAACCAGACATTCATGGGTTTTCTCCCCTTTTTTTCTTTTTTTTTTTTTTTTTTTTTTCCATAATCACTTCTTTTGCACAACAACAACCTCAAGTTGACAGTGAAATGCACGCGATAGACCGAGGGGAACCAGACAAGGCTCTGCAGGGATGGACAGTCCTCCCAGGACACGGTGCCAGCTCCTCACCCAGTATGAGTGAAGGGGGCCCAGGCTGCAGCTGGAGGAGTGAATCCTGCCCGGGTGCTGAGCCCTGGGCTCACAGCTCAGCCCCACAACCACGCAGTCACCTTCCAAACCTCCTCCCGCAGCCCTGGGCTGGATCCTCCCTCCTGGGATGGACAGCTGAGTACCCACCACAGCTCAGCACTTGGGTACTTCAGGGACATGGAGGGCTTGGCTTGCCTGTGGTCCCTGGGAGGGAGGGCTTGTCCATGTTCCCTTGTCACAGGAAGGGGGGAAACTGAGGCACAGGGGGTGTCAGGGCTGGGATGCCCAACTGCTCCCCACGCTCAGGTCCCACCTTCCTGCACCCTGGGGACCACCAGGCACCCAAACACGGGTGTCAGCCCCTGCCCCTCTGACTGCAAAGGGGCAATTTATTGGTGTTCCTCTGTCACCTCAGCCCTGGCCTAGGCGTGCAAGGTCTGCAGCTCCACACCCAGCCCTTCCCGACACCTTTTGAGTCCTCACACAGGGATCATTCCCCACGGGTGCAGTTCCGAGGGGGGGACAGCAATGGGGTGGGGGGGGATTCAAAGCCCCTGGGGACCAGCTGGGCTGAGCCAGGGCTGGACGGTCCCACCAGGCCAAGCAAAAGCCAAGCTGAAGTTTACATCTTCAAGGGAGCAGCAATACCCAGCCACCCCCCAGGTAGGGTGCATGCAATCGGGAACTGCCGCTGTCCCCGCAAGGTCAGCTCAAGGGTAACCCCATGTCTGGGCTAAAAGACTTATTTTAATGACTCAAAAATGAGAAGACGAGGTGCAGGCTCAGTGCACAAGCAGCCTGAGGGGCCAGTGTCCTTGAAAGCACCAAATTCCAGGCAGAGCCAAGCACTGTTACAAGGGACAGGGTGAGCACAGAGCTGTGCTGTGGGATACCCACCAGTTGTCCCAGCCCTGGGGCAGCTCCTTGCCCAGCTGGGACCTCAGTTACCTCCAGCATCTCCTGCTCAACTGGGCTTTCCAGGAGAGCCCTCTGAAAGCTGCCTGCAGGAACGGAATAAACTCCCACTGTCTGCTCCCTCCTCCTGCCCCATGGGTGCTCTCCCTCCTGGGCACAAATGCTTGGGCTCTCATTACGGTGCTGCAAAACCAGGGCCACAAGCTGTGGGTACAGGATGTGATCCACCAGCATCTACAGCAATCAGTGAAGGACCTCAAGCCTTGGGGTGAGGAAGGTGGCCCCAGGAATTGGGGGGGTTGCATGCCATGTCCACAACCATGACACATGGGAGCATCCAGGAATGAGGCTGGGATGGTATGGGTGTTAATGGGGATACTTAACTAGTCTCACTGGAGGCATGGAGTGTGTGCTGCTGCACACAAGCATTGGCAACCCTGGGAGATCAACCAGCCATGATCCTGGCTAGTGCTGGGTGGGCCCAGCATCGTGTGAGCTGCTGGCACCAGCAGCACCGTCCCCACGGGGGTATGGGGACGTGGGAGCTGGGGCCAAAGCAACCCCACCTTTCCCTGCTAGTGCCCAGTGGCACCGGGCAGAGGCCAAGCTCCCAACGTCCCACCCCTGCTCATCTGCACCAGGCAAACGTGGCTCTGCCACACCAGGAGCACCAGCCCCATGGATGGGGCTGTTCCCTTGGCACCAAGTGTCCTGGCAGCAGTGACAGAGCTGGTCCCTGACGTCACTGATGCCAAATTCCCTGCACGTCCCTGCTCCTCTGGCACCAGAGCTTACCCTGCAGGAGCAGCAGCCTCAGCCACTGTCCCTCACAGCATCCACCAGATGCAGGGGAGACAATGAGTTTCCCACACTCGCCTCAGCACCCTGGGCCAGGCTGCTCCCCTGTGCATTTCCCATGGGAGTTTTTTGCCAGACAAAGCTATTGCAAGGAGAATTCCCCACCGGAGATCATGGCTGGTCTCCAGGAGGAGAGTGGGTGCAGGGCAGCACAAAGGACCCAGGTGGGAGATCTGGGCAGGAACCGAGTCCAGGGGCTCGGTAGCTGTTTGGGGAGGATGGCTCCAACCAGCACAGCCCAGCACTGACTGCTCCTCCTCCAGCACCTGCCAAACCTCACAGCTCCTCTGGCTTCCCCCAGGGCTGCAGGGAAGAGCTAGGACCCCTCACACGTGGAGGTTTGGGGCAGCACAAAAGCACAGGTACCAGGGTTGAACACCCCCCTGCCAGCCCTGCTCTCCCTGCCCTGCCCGCAGGACCCTGCTGCCTCCAGCTGCACAATCCACGACTTCCCAGCTGATCTCTAGTCCAGCATCCCACCCCCAGCCCCTGCCTCACCCAGCCCCCCCTGCCCTGCCCGCAGGACCCTGCTGCCTCCAGCTGCACAATCCACGACTTCCCAGCTGATCTCTAGTCCAGCATCCCACCCCCAGCCCCTGCCTCACCCAGCCCCCCCTGCCCTGCCCGCAGGACCCTGCTGCCTCCAGCTGCACAATCCACGACTTCCCAGCTGATCTCTAGTCCAGCATCCCACCCCCAGCCCCTGCCTCACCCAGCCCCCCCTGCCCTGCCCGCAGGACCCTGCTGCCTCCAGCTGCACAATCCACGACTTCCCAGCTGATCTCTAGTCCAGCATCCCACCCCCAGCCCCTGCCTCACCCAGCCCCCCCTGCCCTGCCCGCAGGACCCTGCTGCCTCCAGCTGCACAATCCACGACTTCCCAGCTGATCTCTAGTCCAGCATCCCACCCCCAGCCCCTGCCTCACCCAGCCCACCCTGCAACTCCTTCCAAGCCCCAAGGAGAGAGTGAAAACGGTCGTTTCTCTTGGTTTAAACTCCTGCTCATGAGCACAACATTTCTGATAATCATCATCATAATCATAATAATCAAGTACTAAAACCAGTATTTACAACAAGCTCCAGGTCAGAATTACACACCAAGCAAACACTCAGCACCACAGAGAGTAGGACGGGGTTAAGATCTTGCAGGTACCTTCTCAGATCCCACCGACGTGGGACACAGACATTTGACAGTTTCAACCATTTCTTACACACAAACATTTCATTTAAATTACTTTAAATTTTTTTTTTTTTTTTGTTCTTTTTAAACTTTTTTAAATTCCTTGTCACTAGATGGATGAGGTGATGCTGGCGGGGATGCCACGCTCTGCACAATGCTTACCTAAGACAGCTGCTACTATAAACTGATCATTAGCTACTGTTAAGAAATTCAACCCTCAGTTTCCTTCCTCTTTTGCCCTAAATCTTTATTTTTTTTCTTTGTCACTGGGCAGCACTGGGGCTTTCTAGCAGTTCTGTCCTCCCTCTGGCCTGAGATGAGGGTTTGGGAGCACAGTAGCCCTTCCTCTTAGGAGCAGAGTGTCCCCTAACATCAGACCGTGGTGATCAAGGGAACCCTCCTGAATCCAGCTGGGAATTCTGGGGACATGAGCAAAGAGCCCCAGGATTTGACCTCCAGCAGCTGCTGCTCTTTGGCTTTCTGTGGAGTTTCTGCTACCACCAGCTGCTCACCCAGCCCCTAATCAGTCCTTACCTAATGAAGGCCCAAAAAACTTCAGTTTCAGACAAGACTCAGTGATGTTTTCTTTTCAGAAGGGAGGAGAGGCAAGGGGGTGGTTACTCCCCGTGAAAAACCCTCATCTGCTCTTGCTCCTCATTGCTGGCAATGCTGGGCAGAGCCCTGGGCTGGGCTGTCCCTGCATCCCACTGCCACCTGTCTGTGCCCACCTCTGCCCCCCCCGGTGCTTTGCTTCTTCCCCAAGGATCCTGCAAAGCCCCCGGCAGGAATCCTTCCTCCCACCCACTCCTGGGAGGCACAGCCTGAGGAGGACACCAGTTACTGCCAATTAAGGTTCTTGGTGCCTTGGATGCCCCATTGGCTGGTTCTGGGGTCTGAGAGGGCAGTGGGGCCAGAGGGGCTGTGGTGAGGTGGGAGGAAGAGATGCCCTGGGGTAAACACCCCCTGCTGCATCCCCAAAACAAAATACCAACCCCATCAGCCCGGGGAGGGGAATTCTCATTGCCTTCTGTCTTGAAGGAAGCAGGTCCCAGTGTCCCCTCTGCAGGGCTGAGTCCCACTGCTGAGGGTGGTCATGCCTGCTCTTCAGATGCAACAACTCCTCTTAGTTTTGCAAGGCAAAGGCAAGGGGAGCAGGTTGGGGCTGTCAGCAGGAGGGTGGCCCCTCGCAGGGCACCGTGGCTGCTGGGACCTCAGCTGCCTCCATCAGCTCTGGAGGGCTGGGAAGTCCATGGGCTTTGGCAGCCACCTGGTTGGATCAGCCATGGCCACCAGGCTCACGTGTGCTCTGCTCATCTCTACCTCCATCAAGGGCCAATTCTTTCTTTAAAATGGTCCTTGAAAAGCTGAAGAGACAAGGAACAAGCATGGGGACCTCTCTGCACCCTTCCTACAGAACTGCTTCCCTCTTAGCTCCCTCTCACCCAAAGTCTGGAGATATGAGGGGTCTGGCCTATGGGCCAGAGCTCTGGGCTCATCTGGTGGTCTCTGGTCTCGGTGTCTGCCCTGAGGTGGCACAGCAGAGCCACATCCATCTTTGGAAAGAGGGAAGGATGATGATTCTGTTCACAAAAAGGCTATTTCACCACCACGTGTTCCTACTCCACACCCAGACACCATCACTGACTTCCATCATTCTGAAACTGAGTTTTGGCTCAGAGCAGCCACAGGAGCAGAGGAGCAAAAGCCCTGGATAAGAACCCCACATCCTTGTGACCCTGCTGGTTGAATTTATTAATATCTTATTTAATTAATTTTTTTTTACATCTGTTTAAGAAATATTTTTGTTTAAAAAAGGACAAGACCCTCCAAAGAAGCTGTTTGAACGACTGACTGATTCTCTATTTCATGTGAACTAGTTGCTATTCTGCTTTGGGGTCCCTACGACCTGTGAATCCCCACAAGTACTGACGATTAAGGATGCAGAAGCGTGTGTAGCTGGGGACAAACACCAGGGGGGGATGGAGAACCGAACGCTGCAGCGAGACAAAGAAAAGAAAACGTGTTGGTTGGCTGATGGATTGGTTTGTTAACAGGAATCAGGTGCTAGCTGTGTAGAAAAGCCCTTTATCCAGAGATCTCCTCCCGCTGTTCCTTGTTCCTGCGAACTTCAGCTGCGTGCAGCTCCTGCAAGGACGGGAGAGGGGACACGGGGCTGCCA